TTTTAAAGTAAAGGAATTAATTGATCAAAATTTTTACTTTTACAAAATTTGACGTCGGCATTGCGGACGAGAACGGCAACACCGTCCCGCATGTTGCATGCTCCAATGCAAAAAATAGACAGAATGCCGAAAATGATGAACACACTTCAAGAGGTCTCTTCGCAAAACGAGAACCATCAAAGACAGAGAGTTTATAGTCCTGGAATGGTACTGCAAATTCCTCCAAACATTTTTAATTGTGTCAAAAACCATGATAATTGCACAGTAATCCTAAATTTTGAATATAAAATGCCATGTAAGCTCTCGAGAACTATCGAGAACCGCAATGGGGAAAACAGAAATCATGCTTTCGGCGTGACAACGCAACGTGAGGAACAATTGCGAGAGGAAAGCCGACAAGCAAACATTTTTTAATTCGTTACAATTTTGCGGAGCATTTTTAAATATGAATATAAAATTTAGAAAATAATTTGTTCAAAAAACAAATGCGGGAATGGAGAAAAAATAGCGGATCAATCAAAAGTGGCAGCCGTATGGCGCCACTCTGATTAGAGGTTCTCTAACTACCCTTTGCATAAAAGTTCCATCTATCCACTTTACTTAACATTAATCTCAAAATCAGTTTCTCGTAGAAAGTATTCTTTCATTGTCGAATACGCTCAATGTCAAAAAAGCTTCAGAGCATAAAATAAATACTTATGTCAAAATTATATCAGACGTCATTGACGATATAAATGACGTGCATTTTTAAGATCAACCAATGGATCATTAAACCGCAATGTAAGAAAATTTTATTTATACATAATAAAACATTTATTTATATATAATATTTTATTTATAGATTGCGAGTAGATTTAAAATAGAATAATAGACAATCGCAATAACTGCATTATTTACAAACGTTTGTGGAACGAAAACGTCCACGATTAATGAATTAAATAAAAATAAATTAAAAATAAAGTTGAAGAAAGATTAAATAAGAAAAGAAAACTAAATGGTGAGTCTCGAAAATCCATAATTTGTCGTGAGTAAAATATATTATTATATTAAGAACTATAATTAATTAATTTACTAAACGATGTCCCGCTTTAATGGATCCCGAGGACGTATCCGAGGACGATCAGGACGATCAGGCATCATTGATTTTAATTGAGCCTAATATTCCTACAATCGATCAACAATTAACGATTCAGATTAAAGAAGGAAACTAAATGATGAGTCTCGAAGATCCATAATTTGTCTTAAGTAAAATATTATATAATTATATTAAGAACTATAAAAATTCCCAAAATAAACAATTCAAATATAATAGCCTAATGGGTATTGTATCACTCCTAAAGAGTATCTGGCAAATCATCTTGCGAATTTATTTTTATGAAGTCGGATATGTATATTATATGTATATAATTAAATGATATATGACTAAATGATTTCTGATGTCCCGCCAGCTTTAGTGGATTCCGAGGACGTACAATCCGAGGACAATCAGAACAACAATAACAATGCGTCGTTAATTGATTTTAATTCAACCAAATTACGATTCAGATCAGTGATTTAGATCAGAAAACCAATTAATAATAATATTTCAATTACTAATGAATAAATAATACTCCGATGACGCCGCAGATTACTCAAAATTTATCCAGTTTATAAAACATTACTTACAGGATAAGATAGAGACACTTGAAGAGATCTCTTCGCAAAATGCAAACGGGAAAAAACGAAAACCATCAACGAGAGTTTGTAATCCTAGAATAATACTAAAAATTCCTTCAATTCCTTTTTGTACTAGAGAGAGTCGGTCACGGAGTCCGCAAACTCCACGTGATTACACAGGAATCACGCAAATTGATTTAAAAGATTATAAAAATGCAGATAAATTCTTTTGTTTCTGTAAAATTGGACAGGTTCGAATTTCTGTGCTCGATAACAAATTATTAGCGTCGATGAGAGAATCTTGGTCGAAAAGGATAGATGAAGTGTGGCAATAAAGACAGCAAATAGGAATGCAACAGTAAAAATAAAAATGCAGTCATTACAGTACTCTAGTTGATCTACAATTCTCTACAATCTGCTGTTATGATTTTTTTAGATAAATATATATTTACATGAATATATATTTTAATAACCAAAACCAATTAATTAAAAATATTTCAATTACCAAAAAAATCCATCAATAAAACAAATAAACTAGTTAATGATAGTTCGCGTACTAACGATATTATGATCTTAAGTTCCACGACAAGATCATTCCTGTCACTGTATTTATCACCTTACTTCCGAAACAACTGTATGTAAAAACCAGGAAAACTAAAAACTGCAAAGTAACCATATGTATGAAATTAAAAAAAATCGAAACCATGAATAACAAACGGAACGCAATGTAAACAAAAGCGGTGACCGACGTACGCAAAAAAAGGCCGTCAGAAGCTTCGCCAACCAAACATCAAGAATTATAACAGAACAGTTAATAGCGGTTTAAAGCGAGACCGGCAAAGGCCGATTTGAAGTCGAAAGATTTGGTAGCCCTGCAGAAGAAATTAGAAGAAAAAGATATTGTTCTTAAAGACATGACAAACAAAATAAAATCGTAAAAAAGATATGAACGTTAGAAGTTACAAGTTAGAGTACAAAAAACTGAAAGATATCGTCGAGAAGAATTCGCTGCGAAGACAAAATAAATGAACAACTGCAACAGCAACTCGAAGCGGCACAGAACATGGCTGATTATTACAAGAAAACTAAAAATCAGGATGACAAATTACAACATATATTTGAATGATCAAAACCAATTAATAAAGAAAGATTTGGTAGCTCTTCGGAAGAAATTCGGAATAGAAAAAAAGGATACCGCACCTAATGAGATCACAAACAAAAAAAATCAATTTCTAAAGAAATACTTAAAAGTCTAAAAAACTAATATAATAAGAATAAAATAAAAATATAGAGTTATTACGCATGGAATTACTCTGCAAAAATACTGTTTTTAATATACTTCCCGATTTTACATATTCTACTCAAAATCTATAAAATTATTTTTCTGCAATGTCAAATATTAGATATGATAATTCAACATTGCAAAGAAATTTGAAAGACGTTTTCCAGTTAAGGTAAATTTTCTACTTGTTGCTATAAATAAGTATAAAGCATCAAGGATTGTACATGGACTTAAATGTAAAGATAAGCGATACGCTCGTCTTGCTGTAACATTACTATTCACAGTTGTAATACTATCAATATTAACAATGACTCGGAAATGAAAAAGTGTAAAAAGATCTTGAATATACAATAAATCATGAGAACATTCTTACGTATGATTATACATCAATGTACGTGTAAAATATAGCCTGTAGCGCAAGTAATAAAAAAATTCTTATTACTACACACGTGTATTTTAGCAGTTAGATGGAATCTATGTTTTAAGCCGCTTATCGATTTTCGATTGAATGATCTATCATCATTATCGCGCCTTTTTATTATCTCTCGATCAAAGAAATAATATGAGCAATTTTCAATAGATTAATATTTTAATTTTATACTCAGTTAATGTAATAAATAGCGAAAAAAATCTGATAAATAGAGTTCATAAACAGAATTAAAACAATTTTATAGCTGTTATTTCAAAAAATAACTTCCTCGTTTAAGAATGTAATCATTTAAGAATTAATAATATAATAAAATATGCAGTCCAACATTGTATTTGAGAAGTACTCATCTAACTGATCATGAAGAGGCTAAAAGCTTCTGTTCATTCATCAATCTATCTTAAATTGTAACGTCAGAAGCAAGAAAATAAAAAGATCTTGCAAATATTTGAATTATGTTTCAATATACCAATACTTCAACAATCGATAGACTTGCAAAACAGAGATGGAAACTTCCTTGTAGGGTATGGAGCTTTCCACACCCAGAGCTCTCATGTACATACAAAACAGTACTTACAAAGCTTGAGGTACATTCCCAGCTCCGTATTTGTGAATACGCACATGCGACTGATGTGCAGCACGCTCGAGACAAAGTCTTCAATAGTATTCTTTTCTTGAGCTGATGCTGATGAAGCCGTGAAAGCCGTTTCATAACTTTGCAGAAATCTTTAATAAACTCGACGATATGGTCTCCTGGTAGCCCACGATGGAATACGAAGGAATGAGGCGCTTTCACTAACTCTTCC